TGGGTACCTTGCTGATATAGGACTTCACGTAAAAAAGTTACTATGTGAGTGTCGACTTTTTCATAAAAAGTTCGAAATTATACGTTAATGAGTTAATTAACTGTAAATTAACGGTTAACGATTTTCGTTAACGTTAATTTTAAATAAACGTAAATGTACCACCCCTACTTGAAGTCTCGCGAAGTTTCATGAAGTCTGATGAAGTCTTCTGAAGTCTCATGAAGTCTTTTGAAGTCCAATGAAGTCTTTTGAAATCCTTCAGCTGTAGCTTCTAACATAAAATGAAGTGGAGTGGGTGTGGGTAAAGAAGTGGTGTATGAACATACACCCAGCCACACCCACACCCACACCCATTTTACTAAAAAAAACAAAAGAAATGGCTTTCAGTTTAAACAGTGCTTGAGACAATGTTAATCAACTGCAAAATCGTTTTGATAAGTTGCGTAATGAAATTATTTCAAAGTTAAATGAATATAGTGATTGTCTCAAATGTGCAAAAACTATATGTGATCAAGCAACAGAAATGACTACAATCTTAGAAAACAAACTTATTAATGAATCGAATGAACAAAAAGAATGGAAAGATATAAAAGTTAAATTAGTAGCAACATCAATTAAAGCTATGGTCATACTCAATATAGGAGGTGAAAAAGATACATTCTTCACTGCACTCTTCTCTAAAGAATCACAACTTGAAAGAGATCATAATGATGGAAGTATATTCATTGATCGAACTGGTAAAATCTTTACTTATATTCTTGAATATTTTCGTACAAATACTGTGCCGATTAATGTTATGAAAGATGAAACACTTCTAAATAGTCTTTTTATTGAGGCTGAATATTTTCGTTTGTATAGTCTGATGGATCGATTAGGCATTATTTATTTTCCGAATGGATCATTACTTCAACCAACACATCAAAGAAAGCTAAATGAATTTTATGGTAAGATTTATCAACGATGGGAATTGATTTACAAAGCATCACGTCATGAATTTGGTGCTAATGCATTTCATTCACGTTGTAATAATCAAGGACCAACAACGACGATTATTCAATCAAACAACAATTATCTTTTTGGAGGTTATACATCTATTCCATGGACTTCAGATGGTTCATATAAAAATGATACGACAGCATTTTTATTCACTTTGATCAATCCTTGCCATATTCCACCGACTAAAGATCTCATCAATTCTGATGAAACAGGAAACGCAGTTTATCATCACACTGATGATGACCCAATATTT